AAAAAAAAAAAAAAAAAAAGAGATCCGGAGAAAAAACAACAACTTCCTGACAGTCATTCTCTCCGGACTGATTCATCCTGATTCACAGATCAGCCAGACATACACAAAACGTTAATCACTTGGATAATGGGAGACTGAGTGGGAAATTGGAGATTAGCACAGAACTGCTGATGAAATGTATATTGTAGGATATCAGGCCTGTTTCTGCTGACTCTGGTCATTGTTCAGCAGAGACATAAAAAGCTATAGCTTTCAAATGAGATGATTGTAAACGCATATCATGGTAATTTACTGTAAGACCTTTCAAATAAAACAAACAACACTTATTTATCCGAATTAACTCAAGGCACATTCAAAGTAATATACGTTTTATCAGAACAACTGTTCCTGGAAATTATGCCCATGACCTTGGTGTTGCTAGCGTCATGTTTTACCAATTGAGGTTCAGTAACAAGTCCAGCCTACTCAGTGCACAGATTGCTAGATCAGTCAGTGGACATGAGTTTCTATTCTAATCAAGGTAAACAAATGTTTCATCAGAGATATGAAGTCACTCAAAGTTTCAGTCTGTAACAGATTATCCATCCACACATAAAAACTTACTGAGCACGTGTCTAACCGAGATTCAGGCGGCAGACACAAAGACACCAGGGATTTGAGGGATTTTTCCAGATGAAATCTCTGGTATCATTATAGGGAGATTCCAGAGATACCAGAGATGCCAGTTTGACTCCTCTATCAGTCATATATGAATGACTAGGAAAGTGAGTGTATTATTAATTCAATCAGTGACATTTGAAGATAATGTCACAGTTCTATTTTTTTTTTTTTTAGTTTCCAGAAACTAGAATAGTTGTTATTCTTCACCCTCAGAGTTTCGCTCATATTTTAAAAACATCCCCATTAGCATTATAGGTATATCTTACTCACATTTTGTCTCTTAACGTTTAAAAGCCAAATATAGTTACTAACTTTCCACAGAAAACAAAAATCATCTCTCTAATGAGTCTCACCCATCAACTGTTCCAAGAGCCAACAATATAATTCTGAAACTGAAAAAAGTTTGCCAGACTGGCAGCTCTCTGTCAGAAATAACGAAACTACAATATTTCAGTAACCTTTTTGATCATTTCTAAAAGCCTGAGGAGTTATGTATAATATAACAGGTTCTGGCTTTACTGTATATGTGCATGTCAATGTATCTTAGATTCACCACTTTCACAAAACAAAAGTTGGTGGTGTACAGATACGGAGCTAAAAATAGCTGTAATTTCTAATAAATAGTTTCATTCTGACTCAGTTTTCAAACATTTTCATAATCTTCATTCTTGCATGCCAACTGAAGCTGAAGTATCACTACAGATCAACAGCAACTCAAGAACATCGCAGTTGTAAATATAACGTTGAGAAGTTCCTTACTGGTAATCATAAACTCCTAATCAATGTGTTTTACTGGAGGAATATCAGTAGATAACAGGCAGCACAAGACCTCATGTCTGCTACAGGACAATAAAGTTGATGATAAAGTGTTGGTGCAAACACTTCTCAAAAGCCCTTCCCCTAACGTTTGAGTCATACCCTTGGGAAAAAGTAGTACACTTAAGTACTCTTTTTAATATGCTAATTATGGAAATCATATACTTTAAAAGAATATACTTAAGTGCAAACTAGGCCTACATGTAATGTTTTTGAACACTTAACTGCATGTTATTTGCAAGAAAATGAAATTCTATTACAGGCTAAATTTATATTAATTGCTATTAGCTGAACTTAGTAGTGCTTTTCTGACATACTTAAGTAGGACTTACATCTTTATACCGAATTTCATACATCTATTGTTTGGGAAATATGGTTACAGTGTACTGCTGAATGTACTGACAAGCATTTATGGTAAATGTATGTCATGATTTTTTAAAAATATATTTGTAACTACACATTTGCAATGATAACGTTTCAATTCAGTATAGGCCTACTTAAAATATATTTACTTGTATGTAATATCAATTTAGGTAAAATTAAAGCAACCAATGTGTGGTTTAGTAGTCAACACTGGGCTAAATAAGCATACTTCTTTAAAGCAGGACAAAAGGTTTGTTAAAAAAAACAGAAAGAAAAATTTTATACAAAAATTTACTTTAAGCGTAAAACTTGTTATTAATTTGACATCATTACAAAGTGCACTTTTTAGAAGTGTACTTAAGACACGTAGTCGTGGAAGTGGACTTTAAGTACACTCAGGTGGCGTTTTATTTCATTCATATTAGATTGTCTACAAGTGCTGTACCATCTTAAGGTTTAAAGTACACTACAAGTGCACATTCAATACCATTAAGCTCAACACATGGGCAACAGATCAATCTATATAATGGGACTTTGAAAATAATAAGGCCTAAGAGAGTTAGGGAAAACTGGACACCTACCCCTGTCAGTTCACCAGGACTGCCGATCATGCTGGGGGACAGACTGGTGGGCTCAATGTCACTGCCCGTGAAATCATCCTCCGATTCCTCAAACGACGAGGCAGAGGATAATCCAGCAGAGGAGGAGTTGGACAGTTTCCTGTGGAACAGAGAGGGCGCAGGGGAGCCTCCGCAGCCGCTGTCCGAGCAGGGCGAGTCCTCATCGGGATGCATGTCCAGTGAAAAGCCGCCCATGCTTAAAGTCAAATCACTGATGTGCGGACTGTCCTGACCGGGTCCTAAATCATCATGGGTGACTATTAGTTTGGGAATAATCCCAGGGAACGGGTATGAGGCGTGTTGCTCCACTTCTCCACCCAGCCGACCTGATACGGAGGGTTGCAACGTACTTTTGGTCATTTTATGGTTTGCTAACGGAGACGAACAACTGAAGTCTACTAAAAAGTCTGGTGTGTTCAGGCACTGGGTCACATTTTCCTCCGAAACTCTGCCTGGAGTCACGGCACCTCCTTCTGACACTCTTTCCATGTCCCACGGCGAGACGCAACACTCATGGTTCTCCTCACGTACTCCTTTCTGTCCGCTCTGGGAATCCGAGACAGAACTCTCAAAGTCAGTGTCCCGATTCAGAAGTATCAAGTTTTCGGTCGCATGCTGATTACCGGAAGAACTCGCGTTTGAAATAAGTTTTTTCGGCTCATGTACTCTCACATCCACTAAAGTCGTCCCCTCTTTAAAACCGCCCCGCCAGCACTTCTGAACAGATTGCAGCTCTTTGGTTTTCATCGGATTTTCGTCTAAGCGGTCACCGGTATGCGGCGAACAAAACACTCCTTGCACGCAAACTCGTGTGGAGCTCGCGAGTGCTGCGCTGTTACAGCGGTGTGAAGAGCAGCCGCCGTTGCTGGATGATGATTGGCCCATACTGCGTACCGTACAGATCACTCACACGGCCCTTTAAATGCAACGCCCACCGCCGCTGCTCTGGCCAAGGTCTTTAACCCTGCACAGCCTGACAGGAAATAAAAGTCAGAAATATGTATTATTATTATTAATATTATTATTATTAAGACTTTATAACAATTATTTCACAGCAAAAGGACATGTCATCTGTACCACAACCTGAAAGGGACATTTCTAGAATTACTAAAAGGCCTTTTACTTGCTAAAAAAGTATGAACTATCAATCAGAGGGCAGAAGGTATGTACATATTTCTCAGAAGTACTGATCATACTCATCATTCAGAGACCTTAGAAATTCATGTATTAAATATGATACACTAAGGTTTATAGGGCTTCTGTTGAGGCAATATGCAATATTTGTAATAACGAAAAACTATGCAATATTTGTAAAGACGAAAAACTATGGCACAGGATATTATAACAGGAACAAGGCAGTAATTGCAAGAAGGAGAAAATATCTCATATCTCAAATATAGATATGCTAATTTTTATTTATTTAAAAACACATACACGTGGTCATGCCATAAATTGCTATTGCTTTTGTTGTTGTTTTTAAAATGAATTGCTATCGAAAAATATATATATTTTAATCTAACCAAAATAATATTGTACAGTTATGAATCACCCCCCCATATACACACACATCAATGAATGTCACTCACTCGATCACGACAAATATATGTTATTAAATAAGCAAGTTTATAAAGTTTAATAAGTGACTTATAAGTGGTTCCAACACTTACCAGAAGTGCTCTCCATCAATAAAATGCCATATAAATCATAAGGGAAACGTTTAACTAGCTAAGTCATTTGACTTAATGAGATAATGACTATGTGTACGCTATAAACAGTACCATCATGTTTGTGGCTGGATTGAGGATCGCAGCTGTATTATTCTTCCAATGCATTTGGATATTTGTCTCCCTCTAGTGTTTAAAGAGGGGACGTACAACGTCTAAACCTTCTATAAATAAAATGGTAACATATTATGATGATATTTGTTGTTGTTGTTCCACAGAAGAGTAAAAGTAACACAGATTTGGAACGACACGAAGGTGAGTAAATAATGGCAGAATGTTTATATTTGGCATGAACTATTCCATTAACTAAACAGCATTTGTAAAAACTACACCACCCTGCATACATATTTGTTTGCTCAACTTTACACAGGTATTAGCAAACTGTATTACTGTAAGTAACCTGACACAATGACCACAGGACACCTCTCAAGACAAGACCACACTCACCACAATTACAAGCTATTCAGTACAAACCACAAAAGAGCAAGAATTGTTACATCAATAAAAAGGCATTAAGTTTACTTGATATTTAATATTAACAAAATGAAACAGTCAAATGAAATGGAATGAAAATTGTACCAATGTGAACAGTAAATACTGATATATATGTATAGGTTGCTGTATAATTGTGGCATAACACTTTCTGAGGTACAGGAAGTGTGAACTTAAGTGAAAAGAGCTCTCGCTGTGAGGCTGCATGACAGACCACAATGATGGCAAGCCATTCTTTCTGCCTGACCTATATTAACACTGATGCTTAGAAAACTAAATAAGGCTATACATCAGGCAAGTATTTCTGGTCTGTTAAGGTTTTTACTCTCATTGCTATGTCAGAGGAAATAGCCAGTAAGTAGTCCTACAGTATAATCTACACTCTTGTTCAACAGTTTTCAGTAAGTAAGAAAGATCTTTTGAAAGAACTTAATACTTATTCAGCAAGGATGCATGCAAATAATCACCAGTAAAGACATGGATGATGTTACAAAATATTTCAAATTTAAAGGGGTCATATGATGCGATTTCAATTTTTCCTTTCTCTTTGGAGTGTTACAAGCTCTTGGTGCATAAAGAAGATCTGTAAAGTTGCAACGACTAAAGTCTCAAATCCAAAGAGATATTCTTTA